TATTTAGTAACTATTTTAGTAACTTGACCATTTTTTTTCTCTGAGATAGTTGACTCAAGGAGAATGTGGGAACAAGCGTGTGAAATCTATAATAGTAATTTTTCACATTTCGTAGCCTTCTTAATTTTTTTCCGTTTCAAATTGTACAATTAGATAGAATTGGTTGGATCGTATGAGACAAAACTATTTCCTTTTTTTACCAAATATAAGCCCACCTTTATTTCCCCCGAGGATAAATATACCCTTTTGGCAAACATATAGGTTTATACCGAGAAAAAGTGAGAGACCGGGTGTAGAAAAATCTGCTTGTATATTATTAAATTTCATCCCAGCACGGTATACAAATACACACGCGTCGAGGTACAGGTTTCGCCACGGGGAATCCAACGAACAAAAGGTAGCCGTGGAGTTGATAATAATAGGACTGTGGAACATCGAGCCTGGAGGATCCACAAGCAATTGAGCTGAGAAAGTATTCTGTTATATATTGTATAATCGATATTGGATTCGACAAATCACACGTGTGATTTATATTGATGGGAAACACGTGGTGTGCGCATGTATACGCTCTTGTACAAAATAACTTCAATGCCTATACTATTCAAAACTGTATATCAAAGTAAGTCCATATGAACGAAGGCGAGAGAGAGAAAAAAAAAAAAAAAATACAAAGAGCACGATAGAGCGCGAAATCAACGATTTTACGCGGAGGCGAAACTTGGTAGTGCCGTTAGAAGAGATAACGGAGCTGTATTTGATACGCAATTTTCACGTAGGAATGCTTGAATGACGACGAGAGTATAATAAAACCAATAACGTATCTGTATGCACTGCAGAGCCGACAATTTCTGTTGTGTTGTCCGTCGGGGTGTCAATCAGATATGCACGGATCTCTACGTATACATTTACTTATGTATAAGTGTATGATAAAATCCCTGAAGAATCGGGAGATGGAGGGAGCTAGAAATGAAGATCAAAATTTTTTCATGCTACAACTTACAGATCAATCATCAAACAAAAACTTGTTTTGAGCGCCTTTAAATGTTTTTCGAGGGAACGTGTAACTCTATTTTTGTGCTGCATGAGACGAAAAAAGATTGGTCATTGTTCTCGTGTCACCACTTTTCTTTACATATATTTTGTTTTAGGATAACAATAAAAGTTGTCCCATGGGGACATGCATTCCGTATATTTATGAACTATAGATAAATTTGAAGCCAATGACTATCCGCAGTAGAAAGTGAGATTTTATGCATTTTTTATCCTCCCTCGTTTGTTATTTTTTCAAAGATTTGGACATATGGATGCCATTGTGCTTCGTATCGAACGCGATTGGCGATAGCACGCGACCGCCGTACAACTCGTAAAAATCTTGCGCTCCTCGAACTCGAATTTTACCTTTCGTATTCGAAGAGCAATACGAGATTTTACTGAACCATGCCAACAATATTACCTACGCATGAGAGCTCTTTGAATGCTACAATGGATGTCCTTACACGAAAGGTATACATGGGCAAATCCATACAAAAACGTCTTAAAATTTTAGATGTACATCTTTGAAACAATAACTATTTTGTATATGCCTCTATAAATGCCAGGATTTAGAGAAAGCAAATAAGCTAACGTGAGAGGCACTCGAGCTTTGTTCGATTGTTTGGCACCGATTTTGAGAATGTTTATCGATTTTTGCTTGATTCACGGATAATTATATTATTGTAGACCCTCAGATGTACTCTAGAAAGGAAATGCTTCAAGTAGTTTTTAAGTTGAAACTTAAAGGTATACTAAAAAGTAAAAATAATTTCATCTATAATTGAAAAAAAAAAAAAAAAAAATTGAAAGTTTGTTCTAGGATCAGTGAAAATTCTTTAAAGTGATTTGAATTTGATTTCCGCAAGGCTCGTAAAAGATAAAAACCTCCGTTCCTACAGGAATGACCGTCACAACAGTACAATAGTAGTTTTCGTACCTACTATAGTTGTATGCACACCAGGTGGGAACTCGGTTTTTCCCACTGAGAGCACAGCGAACGTCCCAAAGTAGGAAAAATAATTTTTCCTCAGTTCGAGAGGACTCCCAACCCGAGTTTTTCGGTGGAATGGCTCATATATTATAGGTACGAACGCTAACATGCACACGCGACCCAAGCAAGTTTTCTCTCAAAGAAAATCTCAACCGCAAGGCGGAAGCTTCGCACGTAATATAATAAAGACACACCGCGTAAAATAATCCATCGGATCACTGACCTGTCGTACGTATATACGCGTGATATGTTGTTGGTATACCTGCAGGTATATATATTGGCTTTCCTTTCCGGTACTACCACGCGATTTTCCACAAACAGCTATAGCACAGGAGCGAGAGCGAGAAATTATGATAATAACGACGCAAGTACAAGTCGCACAGAGGTATATACGAAACAGGCTGGCGAGTCCACGAGAACGCAGCTTCTCAAAGAGGCTGAGAAGATGCACTAACTGGGCAGCACGTGGCCTCGACGAGTAGATGCGTGCGCCCCCGACTGGTATATACCATTCTCTTCTCTTCCCTTCCCCGTGCTCCTCCACTCGTTTCAATAACCCAGCCATTGTATTACACACGCATGTATATTATATATATACATGTCGGGGTGTCGGGCGCTTTCCCCCTCTCTCTTGCGAGCCAGCGGTAAAAGAGAGAAACTCGATATATTCGTGTGGGTATACGTATAGGTATAGGTCCGGACAGTCCGGGGCTGCAGACACGTACTTGCTGCCCTCGGCACCCCTTGACCAGAGACCGATGATGCATTTTTCTCTCGATAGAATGGCGTAGTTGGTCGGGTTCTTCTGGGACACTCTTTCTTTCGCTTCGGAGACTCTCGCTCCGATGGAGTTTTTTTTCCTCTTTATCGTCGGGTAAATGGGGTTGTCGCGGCCGCGGGGGTGAGTGCGTGCTCAGATTTTTTATGGGACCGTGGGGCGATACTGTTTTTGCAATGTCTCTGAGAGCCATTTTTTTTTCCCTTGAAATGGATTTTACATGGTTTTGATTTTATTCGGGCTTTTGTGAATCGTGATTATTTTTTGGTTTTTTTGCAATGCCCTTCTTTCAATCTCTGTGAGGCGGTCACCAATTTTCGTTGTGCATATTCTCATTTTTTTTCTCACTTCCTTTCTCTCTCTTTGGATGATTTTAATCGAGTAGGCGCCAAGTTCGTTTGGTCAATCTGACACTACGGTAGGTTTTGCAGATACTTTAATGGTAAACCTTTACGGGATTAGGATCTTCAAATTTAATATTTAATTCCACAGACTTTAACATAATTGATTAAAATACATAACTTGGTTTATCTTTTAAGTATTTTCGTACGCGAATCAATTGCTGTACTTGATTGCTAAGCCGCACAAGCACACCCAAAGCGATACGCAAACAATACGCGTCTTTTAACATATTATATACTTCGAACAGCTGACTTAATATTGCTGAAACAACGTAGCTACGTTGACTTAAAAAATTGCAAACTCAAACCATGGGCTGTTGCAAAATTTATTAAAATTAATCGTAGGACAAAAATTTAGAATTAATTACAACTGCGTTGTTACAAAAACTATAAAATATACGTTGTAGCATATGTACGACAATTTTATCGTGCTGTCACAATATTATTCTCATTGTTGAAACTCTGCGTAAATAGTTACTCCAAGTGTATACAAATTGTTTAAAATTTCGTACCACTGCCGTGAAAATGATGTAAGTTTCCTGGTAAAAAAAAAAAAAAATATATCTGAAAAGAGAAAGAAGTCAAAGGCCGGAACGATATGGCTTCGAATTTCACGTTCTGTTAATATCACCGATACATTCGAGGTAGACGAGAGATACGAGCGTACCACACGGGAGTCTGTGTACAAGGCAAATATTTACGGAAAGTGAAGCGCATCGGCTCGAGCTGCGCCCTGTACACATGCAGAGTTGGGTGCAAGTGACATAAAATGTACGGAAAGGGAAATATATAAGCGAAGCATTTGGAAGTAACGACACGAGAACACGCTCGGGGCAACGCTCGGTCTCTCTTCCCGGCGCTGACTCTTCTTCGCTCATGTATAGTTGTCTTTTTTTTTTTTTTTTTTTTTTNGCCCGCTGTCGTCGGCATCTTCGTTGCGCCGGCCTCTCATGGAGCCTGATATCTGTTGTGATTTTTCATACGATTACTTTGGTGTTTTTCTTTTTTTTTTTTTTTTTTTTTTTTTTTTTTTTTTTTTTTTTTATCTCTTTTTCCCTCCGACAATTTGCTGCTGCACTTTTTGCGCGTAATTATATGGAAAATTGCCTCGTACTCTCGCACCGTATCTGTGGTTAAAGAAATTTCTACGCCCAATTTGTAGTAGACTTTTATTATTGCTTGTTTATGCGGGTGAATATGCATATGCTGTCTGCCCTCAAGAGCTATTTCAACTGTAAAAATTACAGTTTCCTCAAAATAACTCTAGTAACAACGGATTCTTTCATTTCATCAGCGCTCGAGTGAAAGATAAACTCTCGTCTGATAAGAATTTCCGCGCTAAAGTTAAACATTCCCTGACGCTTATTTATATGCACTTTTGAAACAAAATGATGAATAAACCTCATGAAAAAATATGCAATAATATCGATTAATTTTTCTCAGTTTGAACGAGACATTTGTCATACTGATGGTATCATAAATTAAAATAAAACTTATAAGCGACGTGTATTGAAAAACTGCAACTCTACAGGATAAGAAAATACAAGCGAGCAAACAAGTATAACGTTCCGATCGATTTTCCCGGGGAAAAAATATTCCCAGCGTTCACTTGTTTTTCGAGCACACAGCAGATGTATCATTCGACAAACAGCCTCCGGATGGAAGGAAGCAAAAACAAGCAGATCTGCCAATCATATATATATATATTTGTGTGCAGTAATGCATCCCCGTACACGTCGAACCGAGCGAAATGAGGCAAAAAAAAGGACATTGTGTCCGCGCCAATCGAGTCACTCACCAACGCAGCCCGGCAGGTCAGGAATTCTCTCGAGCCAGTGTCCGTCCTTGCAGTGTATGGTGCGCCTCCTTTGCCCTGTGTCGGGAAACACTGTGCCGGTGCGGCAGAGTAACGTCTTCGTTTGCGTGGTGTCGTTTGAGTTTGATACATAACTACCTGACGGTGGCGTCACCTCTGAACAGCCGAAAACTGCAATAAAGGTTTTGTTTATAACAGTACAGGTGTTGCATCATTCGATTGATAATGGATGTTGCAGATGATAAAAGAGGTTATTGAAGCTGCTCATGAATTTTCAAATCACTCATCGAGAAATTAATTTAACGGGAGCTTACATAATAGCTGGAACGAAGCAGAATGCTTTTGTTTCAGGATTCATATTTTTCGGTACAAATATATCGAATAAACAGTGCATGGCATTGTTCCAGTGTGGTAAAATGTACTGGTAATACTTTCAGTTGACAAAATTTCAGACTGAGCATGATGATTTTAAAACAAACTTAAATTAGCAGCGCGTGTATTCCAAAGGAAACAATTTTATTGCAAAAGTTAAACGACAAAATTAAAATTGTTATTAAAATGAAGTATGTCGAATGCTTTTAAATCCATTCCTCACATTTGCAAGAGTAAAAAAGTTTTAACACGAATTTTATTTCTTACAAAGTATTGATTTATGCTTCTACACCGATATTTGAGAAGACAAATTGAAAGCTTTTGGCATAGATAAAAAAAAAAATCGTGTTATACATTTTTACATTGAAACGTAAAGTGCAGAAATAAATTTGCAAAAAAAAAACTTTTACGCAAATAAGTGAACATTTTTTTCATGCAGTTTTTACAAAACTTTTTACATTTAACGCATGCAAATCATCATCACGAAAACATCATTTCGACAAATTCACACGTATAAATCATGCAAAATTTCAAATGACGGATCACAAAAGACTGTGATTGTCTGTACACCTCGAAGCTTTGGTGCAGATGGACGTGAACAAGCGTAAGCATATGTGAATGAAAATCCAAAACAAACACAAATCCAAACCGAACTTTTCATCTCCGAACCTTGGTACTGCAAGAGAAAGCCTCGAGCGGAGTAAAGCCGGGCTGATGCGATGAGGTGGAGCGTCAGAGAGTCCGTGTTTGAGACGATCTTGATGCCGGCCGCGCTGCCGCACGTCTCGAGCAACGTCTCCCCGTCGTCCCAAACCCGCACCACGTCCAAACAACTGCCGTCCCTCTCGTGATCTGCAAAACGAGCGCGTCAATAGCCGTGCCAAAAAAGAAAATATAGTACAATTGCGGGGTTCGATTGACTCACCTCGTATACTCAGGTCGTGGAAGGTCAGAACGATCCTCTGGCCCGGGCGCGACCTGAATGTCCAGCCACACGTGATGCCACCGAGATAGTAGAGCGGATAACCCGGTGACTTGAGAAAGCCACCCACGCCTTCGGGCACTTTGATCTCCTGGTTGCAGTATTTGTAGACCGACGCCTCTGCTCGGGACGTAATTAAAAGCACTTTCAGATTATACTGTAGAGATTCTGACCTCGTGACTAAGGGTGTTTTGCTTTGATTGAGAAGTGCAAGGGTGACGAAAGTTGGTAGAGGATTCAGGGGCTGGAAAAGTTGTTCATCTCAACGTCTAGTGGGTGCATTATGCTTCTTACAATTTTTTGATCACGAAAATTCTTCATGTATTATACCTCTGATATTACGCAAATCTTTTGTAGAAATCATCAATGATGCCATAGATTGACATCAGGAAATCAAATCAACGTATGGAGGAAGTGCAAATTCAAGACTCCATTCGTTAATTATATTTTACGTGATCTTCAACAGAGGTGACATATTTTGAAATTGAGACTTTTGCTGCATCGACTGAACTATCGATTGAGAAAAAAGTTTAATAGTGCAATATAAGCTTAAAAAGTACCATTGTACGATATTCGTCCCACCCGAAACTCAAAAATTCAGAAAAACTACCCCTCGCAGCTGATCGAATCAACCCTCACATGTTTCGACAACAGCTTTATTGTGATGTACCTATCGTTGACTATGACCCCCATTACGAGATGGCCGAAAAAGTACTCCCAACATCAGCTGACGAGAAAATCGTGACGCCAACTCCCCATGGGAGTTGTAACCGCTGTGATACTCATTGTGTCAAAATAGCCATCAAAAGATGCATCAGTCGCGTGCGGCATCCCGAATTTCGGTATCGTTTATACCACCCCATGATTTCAGATCGGGGAAAAGCGGAAAAAAGCATCTGCTTCTGTGACTAATGCCTTTCGTTGTTCGCATGTACGTGTGTATACATGTATATGTACGTCACGTATACAAAAGACCGAACAACGGGGACACGTTTATCGCCCAGCGAACGCGAAGGGAGAGGAAAAGAAGATCCACGGACGTGCCTCTTTGTCCTTGCTCTAGATATTCGCGCGTGTGGGGGCGAGGGGGTGAGGCCGGGGAAAATCCCCCCCCCTTTTCACCCCCTGCTCTCTTTGTCACCCCACGTGGAAGGTACTTCTCTCTCCGACTATAGGTCCTCGATGTTTATAATGTACACTGGTGTAGTATTGGTGGTAGAAGTATAAAACCCATTTTTTTTCTCCACTCTGTATGTATATAAACTCCTTTCGTAATTATAAATATCTTCTTTTTTGTACTGCTTTACTTTTTTTTACTTCGCCACCCTTTCCTCGTGCAGCTGTAGAGATTATGAGCTCGACGACGAGCAGCTATCATTAAATTACGCGGAAAGCTTAAAGCCCCGAGAGACAGCTTCGTTGTTGGTATCGTCGTTGGTCGTTGCAGCGTCTCAGATTCCTCGTGATTTGCGAACTGAGAGTATTTTTCTGAGTTACAACGAATTTTGATACGATTTTACGAGATAAATACTTAAACGTGATGGAATGCAACATTATACATTTGGAATTGTGGTGTAAGATTTGAAATAAATTTTGTTTTATGCATTGCACAAAATTGCTAGCTAAAATTAATTATTATTTAAATTCAAAGTTATATTTGCGAATGGATATCGGTGTGGAAAAATTGAAATCTGAGAGCGAAGAAGCCAAAAATACATCCCAACTTATTTTCATCACAATAAATACTCTCTTTAACTTTAACTAGTTTATCGTATTGATATCTTGAATAGATGATAATATGAACTAGTAGAAGCATTTAAACTCCTTAAATTTTTCGCCAAGTAGCAGAAATAAAAATTCTAGAATAACAAAATTGTTGAAACTCAGAGAAAGTTGAGATAAAAGGAGCAAAATAAAGAGAAATGTGGTTGAAAGAATCAAGAAAACTTTCACTTGAACAAATTAAGATTAGAAAATAATAGACAAAGAAAACGGAAATCTGTATTTGATAAAATTTTCAAATCATCGCATGAAACGCCAATTCAAAGTGTTTCACGGTTACAATCGACACAACAAACTCGAGGCAAAAACTGTCTCTCTTCCGGACAGAGATACACCGCGATGCTCTCCTTCCTTTTTTGCGTACTCGTAATTCTGGGTGTTCGCAAAAAAAAAAAAAAAAAAAAAAAAAAAAAAAATGCGTACAATATAATGGTAGACAGCTGCCGAACGCCACATCATCAGCCATCACCGATAGAAATCTAGAACTCTCAGAAAGTGAATACAATGCACAGCCCGTCTCATTGCACCCATTTCTTGTGCTACCCTCAGACAAGCCCCACTCGAGCATGAAGAGGCACGTATAAAATTTTCCGGAAAACTGAGAATTTAAAGGGGATCCCTAACCCCCAGGGGGGAGGGTTTATCGTCGGGGGTTGTTGAACTCGATCTCGGGGGACGGAAAAGCGTCGATCGGCCGAAGCCGTACACAGTGCTACGTTTATGGCAAAATAAGGACGGGGTGGACACGGGAAAGGGAGGTGGAGAGGGTGCTCGACGAGAAGACCCACCTGGTATGCAAGCGTATTTGATTCTAATGTTGGCCGGCCTCCAGAAAAGCGCTTCCGGATGATCGGACATTACCCTGTAGCGGCAGTGGTGATGGCCCGAGCACCTGTGGAAATTCAGTTTGACGTGCATTAGTTGAGAACTGGGAAGCACGGGAGGTGTGTGTATTTTTGTTGCTGCAGCGAGTGGTAATTTTATACGGATTGTCGTCGCTGCAGTGCAAATTGTTTAATCAACTGTGCAGCTCGTTTAATGGACTTTAAATCTAATATTATTCGATTACAACACTCGCTCCTATACGATGAGGGTTTTTCTGTGAATTCTCGAGCTTGAAACATTTTACGGTTCATAAATATTGAAGCATTAAATTTTTTTTTAAATTAGCACAGTTTTAGGTTGAAAACTCTACAATCTTTGAAATACGTATACATGTAACTCCAAGGAAAAATTTGATTTATTTATATTTTTTGTTATTTGTATGTATGTGTGGAATATTATATCAATAATCTTTATTTGTATAGTCCAGATATTACGTGATCTTATAAACTACAATTGATAAAGTATAAATTATCATCATCCAAAATAACCTTTAAATTTTTCTTTTAAAGTTTCTCTTGTGTATGATTCCAAGCGCGCATTAACGTAGCTCCGCATAATAGAGCCAATTTTCCAGGACATTCAAACAGAGCTTTTTACTTGATTCGCATGCAAATTTGAGCCCCACTTTTGCCCGCGCACGAGTGGTTACGCGATAAGTGGCCACCGTCCCCACGACTTTTCTTAAAAAACAATATCCAAAACGCGAAAAAGCGCTCGCGTAGAGTGGGTATACGTATACATTCAGGCAAAAGCCCTTCCACGGTAAAAAGGGTCTTTCATCTCGCAAGTGCACATTACTTTTCGCGCGCATGATGGATTTTCGGAAGATAGAGCCCCGTAGCCAAGGGGTGAGGGTGAGCTCGCAAAAAGGTTTTTGCACCACTGACTAGGTAAACGACCAACGCGTCGCTGAGGGTGGTCTTTTAAGGCTCCGTGGGTTGGGCTGGCATTTTTATTGCGCCAACGGGAGTAAGCGCCATATACACGTGCAAATCTACAATCCACGCGTGTGCGGGAGGGGTGACGACGGGGAAAAAATGAATGGGGGTCTCGCGCGAGGGTGGAAAGAGTCGTGCGAACGGAAGTGTGCGTGTATGTGCTTTGAACTCGAACTGGTGACTTTTGCCGTTCGAATCGGTGTTGTGCACAAATTGTCGTCGTTAAAATTTTACGGCTCGCTTGGGTCATTTTTTACGTCCGTTTTTGGTTAACTCCGTGAAGCTCCGTTGCACCGTTTAATCGTTGGATAGCGTGGAAAGCCTGGTGTCAAAGAGTGTTGGATTTTTCCATTAATTCTTAAATAAGAACTGCACGTGTCTATCGGAATAGAATAATCTGCAGAAGCACGTGTGAATCGCACCCGAACGTACTTACTTGTAGTTCCAACAAAAATTAAAACAACAAGTCCAGTGAAATGACTCTTAACAGAAAATAATTCACGAAACAGTTTGTGTTGTTCTTAAAGTTTTTTTTTGCTTGCATCACTACTTTTATCCATACTTCATGTACAATCTACTTATATTATACTCCATAATATGGTTTAAAACAAGTTTGGCACTGATTGGCTGTACAATCAACACACATGTCAATGATTTTTTAATGCAACCTAATAATTACTTGTCGTTCATTTTTTTCCACAGTAAAGTAAATAGTTTGACTAATTCATTTATCAAACACGTATTTATGTAAAAAGTTTCGATTGCTTGAGAATATTTAGTAGTTGTGTACACGATAATTTTATTAAGTAAATAATCAAACTAATATTAAGTACGTAATGTTCGCGATTTTCGAATCTTAAAAATATGTATTCAACGATTAATATGTACATCTCATATTATTTGTAATATACATCAAGTGCAGTATCGATTTTTCTTACACAAGTTTTTTTTATGAACAACCACAAACACTGTTTGAAAAAAACACGCTCTGCGTTCGTACATTGCGTGAACGTACGAGAGTAAGCTGAGATTTGATATTAATTTTCGGTTGACTTTTCGACACTTTAGCCAAATGCATACAGTAATCGATCACTGCAGCAATCACGTATATCTCGATACTGTTTCAATAGAAAAAAAAAAAAAAAAAAAAAACACACACGCACGACGTGGTTGTAAAGCACGCAAGGGGTGCACTTTGTTTACTGAGCTCAGATCTCAGGTTCGAATAATATTCATTCAGGGCCCGTATTTGCCAGAGATATTCGAGGAGAGAGAGGAACGCGAGTATATATATAGTTTGTATATCGCGCCCTAAAAATCAGCCGACATGCACTTTTTCGCCCCTTCCCCCCTTAGCCCCAGCATTATTTGAATGTTTTCTCTGCGCGTATACGATCTGATAGACGGCACATCTGCGGTGCACTCGTGTATCCATTTTTGGCTGCACGTTCCTTGTTTAGTTTTTTTTTTTTTGCGGACGCGCGGAGGGTCGGACATTAGATACGAGGCTAATTTCCTTGTTTTCGCTTCGTTGGATCGATACTTAACTCGGACATAGGCTGAGTGAACTCAGCGTTTTTTTTTTTAATTAAGTTCGGGTGAGCCTCTTGAGTTATATTTAATTGTAGATAGTTTTTACGATAGATGGGCTTCGTGTTGATCTGCGATATTAAAGAGCTACTGCGTTGCCTTGAAATTTTTTAATGCGAGTGGGGGTGCACTCGAAATTTTAATCTATTTGGATTAATCGCTATTGGGGTGAACTTTAATGAGAACGTATTTTATTTCTACTTCAATTTTCATCAAAAATATTTTTATGACAAATATATGGCAACATCTCACAACCATGGTTTGCATGGAAAATTAAATCAAATCGATGACTTCTAAGTCTCATGGAAAAAGATATTATTGTCATTTTTTTCAAGCACACATTTAAAATTATATTTATTAAAAATGAAGAAAACAAAAAAGAAGCTCTGCGTGGAGTTTCCAACTGCAAATATGGGTATATTTATCAAACGTATGCCTTATATTGTTATAACACGTTTTATCTATAGAAAGTACATATATATATATATATATGAAGCAAAAATTTGCCTACGCGCGTCCACTTGTATTACACTCTATACCTATACCCAATTTGTGGTCGAGATTCTCTCGGTTCTATAGTTCAGGTAATTCTATACTTTACGAATTCGGTCTCCTCTTTCACGGACGCTTTGCTCATCTCCTCTAACAGATATACCCTATGTATTAACCCTCTGTGTCGCTTTACCTCTGCACTACCAACCACTGAAGCCGTTCCACATAATCTCAAGCCCTACAGTCTTTTTCGGATTTCTTTGGATTATGTGGCTTCTTTGTGTCAAGGAATACATACTTTTTGTCTTCGAACGCTTACATTCGTCAAATGGACGCAGGTATGCATTGAAGAAAAAAAAATTTAGAGCCAAACAGCTGATATGTTTTATTGAAAGGTGAGGTCTATCAATCGAAGTTGCGCCTATCGATTGTGCTCCTCGGGTACTTTAATAAGTTTAACCCCGTTTCTCGCCTAGAGAATAAAAAGGTGAATGCTCCGGCGTTATGTTACATACATGCACCTTGATCGTACAGAGATTCTCAGTTTTCACTCGCTCGCACATTTTTGTAACACAGCACGTATACACTAATAGAAATTTAAATAAACATCGTCGTTTGAATGAAAGAAAAATATATTCCCGCGTTACCTGCGATTGAGTGTCTTCCGAAAATCGTACGGATCCTCCTCCGCTTCATCACCTGTGTACCTCCCAATAATATAGTCCCTCCGCATCTGTAGCAACCTTATGGTGGCAAAGAGCGACTTGTACCTGCACCAGCTCTTCCGATCCCATAGACAGGCGCTGGTGCGATTCGGCTGGTACTTTGCCTCGATGACGTAGACGAAAGCCGTGAGCGACCTGCAGGTCAGACGGACCAGTGCAGCCGAGCAGGTCTGCTCCTCGACGATGTCCATGATGCGGCCATCGAAAAGCTGGACGGCCGTGGCGTTGCGCGTGATTATTTGGCGCAAGCCAGGTGTGTGATAACCCCCGCGGGTCGACGAGCTGCTCAGCGATGTGCTCGGGGACAGCGCCAGGAGGATCGTTAGGCTTACCATGAGGCCCGCTGTCGTCGGCATCTTCGTTGCGCCGGCCTCTCATGGAGCCTGATATCTGTTGTGATTTTTCATACGATTACTTTGGTGTTTTTTTTTTTTTTTTTTTTTTTTTTTTTTCGACGAACACTTGGCTTACGTGCATCAGTCGAGCTCAAGTGATCACTGCACTTGACATTGTTATTTATTTTTTTTTTTTTGGCTCTTTTTATTTTTCATTGCCATTCCCTGCATGCGAACAATGGTACAGATGAAAAAAAAAAGAAAAGAGTACTCCAAGCTGGCTATAAAAATTGTTATTCAGAGCTCAACCCGATCAGTTTGAAATAAATAGCATCGCGATGAAAAAAGCCGATGCCGAGGCGCCTCTTTTGCTCTCTCGAGATAAAAAAGTCGAGTGGCTGAGCGCCAGTGCAGGCTCGACTTCCAATGTAAATACACGTGAGCTTATTCATACGTACATTTGATTTGCGCGCTGGCCAATGCTCTTTTTTTCAAGGGCTTACGAAGCTTGTAGCGTGTGCTCGCGGGGAAAAATTCGTACACTACAAAGATAACGCATGCCACGGGGACTCTGGAGTGGCTTTCAAAGTAAAGTGGAGAAGGCGTGATCGATGGGAGGATAAAGTCAAATGTACAGAAGCGCACGGATAATGTTCTTTTCTCGCGGAGGAGTGTTAGAGGAGTCGATTTGGATTTGCGGATAATATTATGGATCTTTATATGTTTTTCAATCATGTTTCTTTCTATGTTTCGTATTGCACAGGTTCATCAGTTTTTTCGATAAATTTAGCTTGGACGATTTGTTCGTGGAGCCAAAAAAATCAGAATGATGATTCTGAAAATGCATAGTGTTTTCTTGTTTAAAGTGCACTGCGTTGGGGAAGGAAATTTAACTCGCGTGTTTTTGAGCACGAGATTTGATAGGTTTCCAGAAATAAGGTGTGTTAAAACTGCAGTATGAGAAGAAGCGGTAAACTTTCTACTGTTCTGAATTGGTGTTTGAAATTTTTTCCGCGGCTGAAAAATCAAACAGAATTGAATACATATATATTGTTAGGCGTTCATGTGGGCATTTTTATTGGATTTTGATATTTTTTTATTCTAGGTTACGTTATATTAGTTGAAAAGATGTTTACATAGGTGCGTTTGTAGGTCGGTCAAAATTGAAATTGAAATCGGAGTATGAAGGAGTTTATTTTTCGTTCGGTAAATTTAGCATTTCGTGAAATCTAGATACGTATAGCAAAAAGCTTACTTTTAGTTCGCGGATTTGAGTATGCGTAAACTAGTACTGCAACTTAAAAATGAAAAAAAACTGGCGTTTTATTAATACATTTATGTTTTACATTGATTGATTCTTATTGTTATCGAGTCACTTAATAATTAATTACAAATATCATCAATATTGCACTGTAAGATGATACAAATAATTTACTACCACATCATTCTTTACTTATTGGAATGCAGTGATAAATCATAGAAGCTAATGTATTGTAATCATAAATGAATCAGAAGATGGAGATTAAATCCTTTTTTTATTGAATGGTAATATTTAATAAAAATAATTACACCACCAGAGTTGCCCACATCTATTATCAAATTGAATCACGACTGATAAAATCAAGCATGTACGTGCGAAAAGATAGAGATCGAGACTGAACCGAGTGCCACCCGATAATCAAAGTCAGTCTCTTTAACAAAACCCATCTACAGCCACGTATATGCAGACTATTATCTTTCAACTCAGTTCCAAGTAAAAATTCACTTAAAACACAGTTGTAATTTCCCCCGAAAATGTTCATCGACACCACCATATACGTAAACAAAGTAGACGCCAAAAAGCGTCCCACCCATTTAAATCGCCGATCAAACTGTGCAGTATACGCACGTGGCCGAAACTGTTCTTATCGTCCTAGCCCATCGTCCCCCAATTCCCCTCCCTCGAAAAGTAAAAGCGATCAGCGTGTCGTAAAAAAATACCCTCCAGGCCCATTACAACCCTCCGTAGGATTAGCATGCGCGCACGTAATTTTCCCCCGTTTGATTTATCGCGCTCACCCAAGCCCGCAGCTGTTGCAGCGCAAAATATATACACACACACGCACCCAAAGGACAGGGCACGCGTTCTACAACCACTCACAAAAAGTACTCACTTCCGGCTCGGAGGGGTGGCTTTGGAAGGCGATCGGCGCTGCTCCCCCGATGATCTTCCCAACCGAGCAGACTCTCGCGACCGATCGGCTCTTTGCGTTGCTTGTTGATCCAAGCTCTCGCTCGGGAAGCGGGAGAACAATATACACTCTCTTCGCCGTACACGGATGGCCAAGCGCGGTCTTGCGCGTTTCTCGGATGTGGAATCACACGTGGGTCTTACTGTTTTGTCTTCGAATCTTTCATCACCACTATAAATACTGTTTGTGTGTACACGCCTCTGTCGGATAATAACTTTTTTCCCATCCCTTCGCTAATTTTTTTTACTCTTGAACTTACTTTTTTTTTTTTTTTTAATACAAATCGACGGAATACTCTTTTACGGTAATACCTAATTGACGTACCTATTGATAACATGTCGTAAAAAATATATGTACACGCATTATAAAAATATCTCTTGGTTTTTCACTTGTAAATAAATATATACGATTTGTAAATAGTTTATGAACAATGAACGATCAATTTTCAATTGCGACTAAACATTAGAGGACACTGCTCGTGCACCCACGACGAAAGACCGGTAAAATCGGTATGCTTTCGCGCACGTGCACTGAGACATCGGTGTCGCATGATCGTCGAATTTGCACCATCGCCGTTAGAAGCACAGGCACTAGTTTTCATAATACTTTTCTTGGACACTACAGAGGCACTTATCGTTTGGCATCAGCTCGTCATTTGTCACTTTATCGTTCGAAAACACAACGCGCTTACGTTCCGTGAGATGTTGTATTACCCTCGCTGACAGGCGTGAGAACATCGCCGCAAATTCGGCCTCTTGGCATCTCGCCATCGGCTACAGCTGCGTCAGACACTACTGCGATTGTTTACTCGACACAGTCTTAATTTTCCTTAATTTCCAGCATGTCACGAGTACGGCCTAAAAGAGCACTTCTCACCAAATCTGAGCCCTTGGAAATTGAAAGTAAAGATCCAATACACCAACGTGTAAAAAGTCGAAAAAAAAATTCAACCCCCTGTACACCAGTTGATTTTCCCGTTGGTTCGCCGGACAGGCGCGCTCGAGTGCAAACAAAGTATACTCGCAGCGCGCGGAGCGACGTTACGTCGCCCACTGACGGCCTACCCTCCGCGCCACCTCTGCTCTATACATAAACAAACGTGCACACCCCGGCAGGAGAGCATTTAAAGAAGAAGGAGACCACCACCCCTCGTTTAACGTGCGTATAAGTGCGAGCGAGCCACGCGACGCTGAAAACCGAACTGATGCCGAGAACGGGATCCACTACCCAGCCGCCCCTCGATCTCTCTCCGATCTTAGGCTCTCTCGCGCTCGGTAGCATCTCTCTTCTCTGTGTGTGCACCGCTTTTTGGAGAGAGGGAAATTATAAGCGTGCCCGTGTACCTACATATATATATACGTATAGGATGCAGTGGCTGATCCATCGACGAGGGGTGGGTTTATAGTCCCTGTAGGGGTGTCTGTACCAAGTGAGAAGTAACACTGCCCCCCCCCCCTCAGCACAACACGGACAGGTAAGGGAGCAGGCCGAGCTTTTTGTCAGCTCAGGGAAGTTGCGCGGGAACGGTTTTCTCTACATTTATTCTAAACTCATGGAGAATTCGGATGATTTGCTCATACGATCTAATTTTATTTATTGTGTTTAATTGAGTACTTCCTTGCTCTTTCAGGTCAATTTTTAAGTCAAGCTAATGAACATAATGGCCATCAAACAAGCGTGGTATACCGAGAACTACACGGGATGACCATTACATTGGATAGATAGTCAATCCAGTTGGCCGGATGAGGGCCTTTGTAAACCAGTGGTACATTTTGGTCCGAAACCTGACGAATTCGACAAAAATATTACATAGAAGGAACGCTGTAACTCGAGACAAAGAAATGCAATCACACAAAGAACAATATAGTTCAAAAGGCACTGTCTTCTTCATTTTTTCATGCGTCAGTCACTACATAATCGCGAGTTACGCAGTAGAATCACAAATAATTAGTTTTTTTTACACCAAGAACGCTCGATCGATAAGTACCAAAGTTTTTTCACAGCAATTGGCCCATCACTGTCCAAACTACCTCTCTTTCTCTTGCTATACGCGTACATGTATTATGCGCATAACACACCGATACCTATATTTTCTCTATCGTAACAGCGGATAGCCGGTCTGTTAGTGGGACCACCCCTCGGCAAAGGGTAGGTATACGCGTGTGCATGCGTCTGCTGCAGTATAGTTGGGGACTGAACTCACTCTACTCAAACCTGTACGTGTATGTTCAAACGTATATATGTGTACACACACAGAGTAAAGATAGCTCCCGGGGCCGCATTATTATTATTATTTCCCAACTCCGTATAGAGAAGTCCCGTCTCGTCGTCCCCTCCCCCCTTTTACTCTTCCATGACAGCGTACCGATCATTTTGGCTCTTTCTCCCTTTCGATTCACGAATGCGGCATATGATCTTTTTTCTTTGTGCAGCAATGCTCCGAAGTATCGTTTAACGGATTGATATGTTTTTTACCTTCCATTTTTTGTCCTTTCTAGTGCTCTGATTGGATTTTCCGAGAGTGCGTGCCTTTTTATGAGCAGGGCACGGGTGTCACTGATCTTGGGGTATTTTTATATGGTGGCGTTAGCTGGAAGTCGCGTGCAAGAAATCAAATTTTTGTTGTTGTTTATTGTGCAACTTGTGTCATTCTGTACCAGAAGAATTGTAATACGTGTATCTCTGAGTAAGAGATTCATTTTTTTTATTGTAAACAAAGAGTTGCAGTATATTTTTGTGTTGCAATTACTCGATTAACAGTAAAAGAAAAACAATTGTTTAAGAATAAAA